AGTGACAGTCTCGACCAACAATGAACGGGTATCGCCACTTCTGCATGGCGAGATCAACTGCATCCAAGAATTCTTCGCTTCCGCTCCCGAGGGCCGCCCGGCCACCAAAGACTGCATCTTCTTCTCCACCCACGAACCTTGCTCGCTCTGTTTGAGTGGCATCACATGGGCTGGTTTCAACGAGTTTTACTACCTGTTCACCTACGAGGACAGCCGGGATATGTTCTCCATCCCTTACGATATCGACATCCTCGAACAGGTCTTTCGAGTTCCTAGCCCCTCAGATACGCCAGCGGCACTGGCTGCCCGTCCGCTCTACAACCGCAAGAACAAGTTCTTCACTGCGAAGAGCGTAGCGGATCTCCTCCGAGACATATCGGACGATGACGCTCGGAAGCGTCTGGCCGGTGAGGTGACTAGGGTCAAGGAACTTTACAAGTCGCTCGATGCAGCTTATCAGGCGGGAAAGAGGTCTGGAACTGAGAGCGCAAGTGTCTGGAAATGATAATTGCCTGCACTCCACCGTCGCTGTTTGGATTGTACAATATGACTCCTGTTGGCCGATGAGATGACGACAGCAAATCCGTACGCAGCATAAATGTCTGGCCGCCATCGCTAATGTGTGGAGGACGACTTGCCTGTCTCATCTTTTTGCTGGATCTCACCATTCCCACCTACTTTATATTCGGCCGTCATCCACCCGACCCTTCCTCTACAAACAGGCGCTTTCCTCCTGGACTGAAAGCCAGATTCATCCCTGGACCTTCCCCATTTAAGCATTCCAGTTAGAAAAGTGGTAACTGCAATTCCATCTCTAAAGCCGTTATTGGAAGGATCCGAGCCTCTCGATTCCTCGAAATGCAACACCTGGCCACAGCGAGGAGCCATAGGGGGCCCAGTCCTTCGTCCTCTGTGAGTGACCCTCTTCCACTACCCAACGCCATCTTGAGCCTATACCTACCTTAGTTACTAGCGAACATTCGTCCACGTATTTAGAAAGTATTTTTTCTCACACTCTTTTTAGGGGTGTCAACGCGCCTCCACCGGGTGTTGGTAATCCTCCATCTGGTGTCGAGAACCCTCCACCAAAGATCGATACCCCTCCATTGGATGCCAACAAGCCTCCATCCGGTGCCAACAAGCTTCCATCGCCGAGTCCAAGCGAAACCGGAAAATAGCCGGCCATGGACCCCAAGGACAGCCATGCTGTGAACTAGAAATCCCCGGCGGCGCAATCTTAGAGGGAAGATGCCGGGTACTTGGACCAGCCAACGGACTCAAGATCGGTTACCAGCTCCAGACGGCCACGGAACCCTTACCAACCGTCTACCCCCCTCCATCCGGCTGCAGGTGTATACCGCGATGCCGCCCCCAGATTTCGCGACGACTGGCAACCTACGAGCCTGTCCCAGTTGACGCTCATAGAATTCACACAGCTTCTGCCCGCCGCCGGCCTACGCATTTGGGATGATCTCGCTGGCGCCATCCTGCTCTGCGAATCTGACGGGCGGGCATTGGCCGAGTTGCCGGGACTGAGTTCCACGCGCAGCCATAGGTCAGCCCTCCCCTCCATTTCCTTCGAGGACCGTTGGAGACGAGTCGATCTAGAAACTGCGTCGCGCACGGAACTCGTTGAGCTTCTCGTCGCAGCGCGTCTCGGCGCGGAGGAGAACTCGGATGGTGACTTGCGACTGGTTGAATGGGGTGGAGATACACGGGCCATACTTCCGAGACGAAATCGGCGTCCTCGAAGGGCATCCGTAGCCTGGGGTGAAACGCCCGATACCTCTGTGAGCCTACATACCGGGAGACATGTTCCAAATCAAGGATTATCATGGAGACCTAGACAACCCGGTTCTATGATGCTTCCAGCACAAAGTTCACGCCGCGAAAATACGGACCCTATTTGCAGCTCAAGACGGTCGTGTTACTCCCCCTTTGAGCGAAACATTCGTTCGGGTCCTTCTCAAGCCTCAAATACCCCCTTTCTCACCACACCCATGGCAACAACGCCGAACCAAGTTTTCAGCCCAGGGCCGCCCTCACGATCCTCATCCACTTCAGCGCAGACCAGCGCCACTCCACACTCTTCAGAGCCGAGCCGGGCGAGCCACCGAGCAGGTTTCCCCAAGGGTGCTTCGGACCGGGTGTGGGCCGGAGATTTATCATCTTCGTCGGAAGGGGCAAATAGCCTACGTTCCTCGAAACTCAATCCGGCTTGCCCGCCGTCCATGTCCGCGGGGCAAATATTGAAGCCGCCCGACTTTCACCGGGCCTGGCCCGATTCAGCATCACGGCGAAGCCCGCCAACACGACCGCAGTTAACCAATGCAGAAATATTGAGCAACTTCTCGGAGATGCAATCACTGCCTACCTATGTAGAGACCTGGAGGCGGACATCGCTTCCGCAACTAGCAGCCTCTGCGGCCTCGATACCTACGGAGTCGACTTCTCCCGCCGCTAAACCTCAAATTCCGGATACCTCACACCACGGAAATACACGATTTGATCAACTCGAATCGACTATTCGAGAACCGACTGTTCAAGCACCGCCTCTCCACGCGAGTATCTCGTGCCTATTATCCCCTCCAGTTCCAAGTCTCAGAAGGACGCCCATGGGTTCAACCCAAACACCAAAAAGCCGAGATGTTGTCGATTATGTCAATGCGTTCACCCAGACATCACCACACTGCTCACCCAGCTCGACGCGGCGACTTTCTCACACTGACGTGGCCGCTCGACACTCTGGTCGTACATCGACGACTGAACCATATTTGGCGCTCAGTGATAATGCTACGGTGTGTCAAACTTCAGCGGCTTCTCGGGCTCCCTCTCCCCACCAACTTTTGCAACTACTCTCGGAGCCACGGTTTGGCAGCGTCTCTGCTAGCCCAGGACCATGTACAACTAAAAAGCTGAGCTATTTCCAGACTCAGCTGCCGCACTTCCAAGAAATAGAAACTAGAATATCACTCATGGTCCTCGAAGAGGCGTTATCGGGTGAACTACAATCCATGGCAGCCCCCACTGCCGGAGAGAGAGCTGAAAATGACTCACCTACGAGACCAAGCTCGACATGTTCGGGTGATCCGCCTCGATCGCCTTTGGTAGAAGCATCCCGAGACCAAAATTTCGACTCCCCCGCTGAACACACGCAACATTCTCCTCCGCCGAATGACCGCCCCAACACGCCACACGAACAGCCACTCTACGGGCCACGGCCGACACGAATGTCTGACAATCCCAAAGGAACGTTAGAAAGGATGTCACGAGAGAATTACCCGGACAACCCGAGGGCCCATGAAGTCGAGGCTATCAACAGAAGCTCGGCACCGGGGCCCAGTACCCGGTGCGGCCCAACTGATGCTGAACCCACTAATGCTGCGCCCACCCAACACCCTGGCCCTCCACAAGGCGGTCAAGTTACAGACTTCGGAACAGGCGCCACCAGGCAACCGCTCTTCATACCCCCAATGTCGCCAGGTACGTGGCGAAGGGAAATGGCATCGCGGACGAGGTCCGCCCCGGCCGACGATCGACTGGCCGGGCTCCTCTACTCTCGGACAAACACCATTGATCAATCGTTCTTTCCGCCTCCTATGTCACCGCATACGTGGCGTAGGGAAGTTGCATCCAGATCGAGAAAACCCAAACGACACAAACAGAAGAAGACGTTCTTTCGCCAGCAATTGGATGCTTCGTCTGGGGCAGTCGAACCCATCGAGACTCCTACCGTTGATCAGAATGCCATGTCAGGGTCAAGCACTGCCTCGGACCCCGGCCAGCAAGTCGAAATATACGACCCCTCCTGGGCGGCTTCCTCACCGGCAGCGTACAGCGAGACGTTCTTGATTCTCGTTTCGACTCTGGAATCGGATTGGTGGAAAGAGAGGGGCGATCCCGCTCTTGACAAGTTCATGAAGGATATGGAGCAAGAGAACGCACGCTGGGTGGAGCCGTGGGCTCGGCCCGCTCTTACATCCCCCTTAATGACCTCGAGAGTAGAGCACGCTTCCTGGCCGTCGTCGCCTGTTGGCGGGAGACGGGTTCGATCATGGTTACCGATCAGTCGTCAGAAGCGGAAGCATTGGCTGGCTGAAGGGTCCCAAAAGCATTCAGGACCTGAGCAGTGGGCGGGGGCAGAAACAACACAGCAACCGCCGTCAGATCAGCACGCACAGCCAGAGGAGTGCCCGGAGCCAGATTAGTGGCCAGATTCTGACTCTTCTGCAGAGCTAGATAAGAAACCGGAGCATAACACGGAGATATACCACTACGAAGAGCCGGCGCCGGAGCCCGGGGGAGTTTCTTCGACCAGTGTGCCTGGAACTAGAAACGAAATCCAGCAATCACAACCACCTCCGCGACCGGATCGCCAAAGCGGGTTTGACTGGGACGAGTCCTCAAACGACGACCCTGAGATTGGATTCTCCGAGTAGAAAGCGAGGAATCTGCCTTCGACCCAGGATCCAGCAACACAGGCCCCTGTGCCGCCATATAAATCCGGGGCGCCAGGGAAATCTGCAGTACCAGCGACGCCAGTGGAGGCAGCGAAGCCTACAATTCAAGAAGCACAGGCAAAACTGAAACCTCATTTGGCGAACCGAGAGTCACAGGAACCAGCTTCAGTTCCACCGCCAGCTCCGGAACCGACTCCGGCTTGGCCTTCAGTTTCAGCCCAGCCTTCAGTTCCGTCCCAGCCTTCAGTTTCAGCCCAGCCTTCAGTTCCAGCCCAGCCTTCAGTTCCAGCTCCGGTTTCAACTCCGGCTCCGCCCCCTCCTCCAGCTCCAGCTCCGACTGCAGCTCCCTTTGGAGCGACGCTGTGGAGCCGGGTCGTTGGGAGGGGAGTGGAGGCAGGCGGAACGCCGGCGCGGAAGCAGGGCAGTCCGGCAGCCCTCACCGATCAGCCAAAGACAGCATGGCAGCCGCGCCAGGCTGGATCTTTTGCCATGGGAGAGTACGATTTCCCAGCATCCCTGTCCGAAAAGCCAAAGGGAAAGCAAAAGCAAAAGCCAGCGCATCATTCAGAGCAAGAGACCTCTCAGGCATCAGAGAAAGCCATGCAACCGTCGTCGGAGAAAGACAAGCCACCGGCGTCAGGGAAGAGGCAACGGTTGCCAGCAAAGGGGCAATCGTTTTCGGAGAAGACCAAGCAACCGTCGTCAAGGAAGAGGAAACAGTCGGCCAAACAGAATACGTTCGGCGCCCTGGAGCAGTTCATTGAGCTTCCCAAGGACGAGCCAGGGAACTCAAAGTTGTCCCAGGATGTCAAACTGGCGAGTGGCTCGAGGACAAAGAAGAAGGGTCCGGGTGGCAGTTCGGCAACGGACACTGCCCAGGTGACGGAGAAGAAACAGCACATCAACGAGGCTATGGGCTCGAAAAAGAAGGCACAGGCTGAAGGACCCGCGGAATTGTTAAAGCACGATAACGACGGCAGTCTGAAGATGGTTCCGGGTCCGGAGTCTCGGGAATCTGAGAAGCTCGAAAAGCATGGTGAGGGTGATATTTTGGCTCAGGGATCTAAGGAGAAGCCCGCAAAACATGACGAGGGCGGTAAGTCTACAACGACCCCAGCCGAGGAATCCGAGGGGAAGCCCGCAGAGCAGGTTGAAAGGGGCAGCTCTACAAAAGCTCCAGCTCCGAAATCCGAGAAGCCCCCAAAACATGGCAAGGGTG